GGACTGGACGGGGTTTCAAGTCCGCGCAATTAGTTCCAGTCCGAGGCGTTAGCCGAGGACTGGAACTAATTGCAAGGACTTGAAATTCCGTCCAGTCCGAATTGGAGGACTTTGAACGACTTCTCATACTCATTAATTATTCGGGAGGGGAAAAAAGCGAAGGAAATACATATAACAGAAATATATTAATTTATTGCATTTCCACCAAGGTTTTCAGTTTTTCATAATTTTGAATAAAGAAGCACCGTTTGTTGTTTTCCAATTCCCGAACGGCTTTCTGAAACAAAAGCTTTTCAAATTGTCTTTGTTTGCTTTTCATGGCATTCCTAATGAGYCTAATTCATAAGTTTTATAAATATGTTATCTTCCAAGGAATCGCATCAGAAACTCGGTGGTGTAATGGCATAAGACGGCGCATATAGATTGGACGGTTCGGGATCGTTTCGTGAGTGAGTCATTTATCAAAGACCTTTTTTCACTAAATTAATTCTATATTAAGTTGATTATTTCTAATACTTTGATTATCATTAGCTAGTAGTAGTTAGAAAAAGCTAGAAGTAACTAGAATCAAGGTAAGAGTAATTGGAAATAAGATAGAAGTAATTAGAAACAAGGTGGAAGTAACTGGAAATAAGATAGAATACAAGGTAGGAGTACTTCCTCTGGTATCCAGTTACTGCACGTGGTACAAATTACAATCAGGGATTGGCTAGATACCTCATGAATAATTAATGAGTATGAGAATATACTATTCACAATGATTACTGTGTAATACCAGGCGTTTGTTGCAATGTTTTTATTATTTCTGATTAAAAACATTGGAGCATGCAAAAAAAACAAGAATTCAAATTCGCTCAAGTTTAACTTCAATTTTTTCCTCAGAAATCATGGTATTACAAAGTAATAGCATGGCTTCCTCGGGAGATTAGGGATTAAATGTCCCTCAGCCTCGGGCAGATAAGTAAAAGTCCCTCCAGCCTGCGGCCGTCGTGACTTCAACTTATCTGCCCTAGGCTGCGGGGACATTTAATCCCTAATCTCCCTCAGAGCTATGCTATTACTTATAATAATTTCATATGTCAATTCTTGGAACTATCACTTAAAAATCTATAAGGCATACGTACACAGCCGGTCAATTGGCCTTAACCAGTCTCTTTACTGCGGCTAAATTGCTATTAATTTACTTCAAGCAAGTACACCTTTTGCTGTTCATTAACCGCGAAGGAACTTTCAATCAAGCGAAATTGCATTGTCTTTAGCGCGAACGAACGTTCATTAACGCTAGTGAGTTTCAAGAGCGTGAAGGGAGAATCATTAACATATTTAGCATAGAYATGGACAATCATGCATAACTGGGCGCAGATTCATTAACGTTTTCAAACCTTCATTAGCCCATTATGTGCATTCAATAAACTACAACAAGGTGTAAAACTTAAAGAACGCTAAATATAAATATATAATATTATCATGTGCATTCTGCTTGAGCCATGATCAGAAAAATGTACAAGAATAATCTCTATTGATTTTACTCTGGAACTGGGTATCGTTTTTAGCGATTTTACTCTGGAACAGGTTATCGATTTCAACGAATTTTCTCTGGAACAGGATCAGAGTTGAATTCCGGAATTATTGATGCTGGATAAAAATTCATGGGGTAAAAATTCGGTCTATACGAAAGCAAGCTAGTGCAGGATTTTACTCTGGAACAGAGTATCGTTTTCAGCGATTTTACTCTGGNTTTTGCTTAACAACTACCAATTCTTGACAACTGGTGTCCTATGTTGTCATTGAAATGCAATGCGAAGTCAACAAGAATTGAATCGTTGGTATATCTGTCGAGGCGCTGATACTGACCCGCTTAAAATAAACTTTCATAACATCATTGGTTCAAAGAAAGAAAATGAAAGTTTCACTTTTGACGGTTTTAGTTTCACCAGGTGTACGTTGATTATGAATGAACTTTATTAACGCACTAAAACCACTCAATCATTTAATTCGAGTTTGTACCCGATCTCTCGCCTTACTTATCGAAGAAGAAACATACTCAAGGTAAGTTTGCTTTTTGTTGCATGCTTTATATATTCTATTTGATTTGCTTCCCTCACGTATGTTTTAATTTATTGTAAGCAACTCTAACTTTAAAATAAAAAATTAAATAAGAATGAATATGAGTGTGTTTTAAGACTGTCATCACCTTGCGATGTTTTATGCCGTGATCCGAAGAGTACATTTATTGAGCAAATATATTCGCATTTATATACTTTTATAAGTGTTTATTGACTAGGCATCTCATTTTTCTATCAAAGTCAATATACTATTCACAATGATTACTGTGTAATACCATGATCACCTCGGGTTCTTTGGTCTTCCGGGGGATGTTTACAAGCGAACATCCCTCCCTCATGAATAGCATGAGGGACGATTACTGGTAATCGTCTCCATGCATAATAACATGAGGGAAGATTAGACTAATCGTCCCTCATGTTATTCATGAGGAACGGAAGGCAAAGGAAACCTTTGCTTCCTAGTAGGGACAACTGAATGTCCCTACAACTGTCTTCTTTTTAACTCTGCAATGAACGGTCTGGTTATCGTCTCAGTCACACTGAAATGTGGGATGATTTTTGGGCCAAATTGACCGAGTAGCTCTGGTTCCGAGTCTCTACTTCGTACCGCTGAGCATGTGAACTTGACGAATTTCAATGTTTGATAATAGTTGATAGGCTTCTTGGCATTATACTTGCAAATACAAAAACAACTTTTCAGGGTTGAAGTTAAGGTTCGTCTGAAAAGCATTTGTTTGAAAGTTCGTTGTGGGAAATCAGTAACAATGGTCGGATTACCAATATCATTTTGTACTGTTGTTCTACGAAAACCTTTTCAGTGACACAATAAAGTACTTGGTACTCTTAGAACAGTACGTATCCATTCTTGTTCATGTCACATTCCAATTCATGCATGAAGCAGGCGTTTGTTGCAATGTTTTTATTATTTCTGATTAAAAACATTGGATCATGCAAAAAAAGCAAGAATTCAATTTCGCTCAAGTTCAATTTTTTCTGCTTTTTGCGCTGGTTGTCACTGTGAAACTATGAGAAAAATAGGCTTGATTGAGTGACATACACGTATTTCAAAAAACGTTGTCGGGGAGAACGGCGAGCGGCGATTGTCGAAGGGAGAATGCACGACAAAAAAAGATTATGGTTACGCTGTCTGACATACAAAAAATTCAATTGTTAGGTTTACTTGCGTGAAAATGGAGACTAAATGGAGCCAATGATGACCATAGGAAATCTTACGGTAAAAATTAGTCATTATTCCCCATCCATTAGCAAAACCCATGGCTCCTTTCGGTCGTACAATCGCCGTTTGACAATTTCCATTCGCCATTTTATCCGACAACCTTTTTTGAAATAGGTATATACTTACTACCAGCCAGAGTCAGAGCATAATTAACATGCCTGACTAGCTCCGGTGATCTGATTGGTCAAAAATTAATCACATAAGAGACTTACACAACTCCCTCTGCAGTCTTTTGACAGCTGTCAGTCATTCTGTACTAGGAATAACGATTCCCAAGTAAGAGTTACATACCGAGAACGGAGGCAATCAGCCTATACATCCCTCGGGCCGTGACTGGCTTATTTTATACTTGAAGAAGTTTTCCAAGCACTGCATTAATATTTTCATTTTTAAATAGGCAAAGAAGCCGTTTTCATGTGAATTTAAAACCAAAACTTCGATTAGAAAGGTTACGAAATTTACAGTATTGACAATTCCCAACGGGAATAATTTGCATAACTATTTTTTCTCGTTAGTCCCATGAGACCAATGCTAACAATACACCTCTTGTAACAAGTAACTGGACAATGTTAAATAACTGTTTTATTCCAGAACTGACATCGATTAGTCAGTTAGCATAACGTGTTAAGTACAGGATTTTCAAAGCTACTTGGTGTCATTTGGTGTCATTTTAATTTTTCTTTCTTTCTTTCAAGTTTCAGACGGAAAATTTCTAAGTTGAACGTAGTAGTTAATTCAGGTATTCAAGGGCAATATACATTAGTATTCAAGGGCAATATATAGATTGATAGATATTGCCCTCAAATGGGGGCAATATATAGATACTGCCCTGAAACTTCGATATAAAGCACTTGAATACACAACGAGCTGTGGAATAAGCGAGATACAACACTATGAATAACAAAGGAAACTGAATCAAGTATGAAATAATCACTAATACAAACTTAAAACGCGAGGAGGGCTTGAATCCAGAGCAGAGAAAGGGTGGGGTTGATGAATAATAACAATAGAGAGTGAGATCTATTAGTATTCTATATAAAAATACAGAGTACTAATAGATCTATTAGTATTCTGTATTTTTATATAGAATACTATAATAGATTTGTTAGCCGGCTCCATAGAAAAAATATAAAATGCTGATAGACATCGATCTAGCAAAATCAATAGTCAAAATTGCACGTATTTACATTTACGATCATTTTTCTTAGTGGGGAGATTAAATAAATTTTCTGTCTCTTATACGTTTTGTAGAAGCCTGTTAAGGCCGGAAACAGTCGCAAATATAGATTTTGATAAATACTGTACGCCACTCTTGTTGGCAAGAACTCTCCGACGAACTTTGTTAACCAAGATTTTGCACATTATCGATCGATATCACAGCCAAACCCAAAGCTCTCGTTTGTTACTGAGTGTTAATTTTCTTCCCTTGCTTATTGCCACTCGTGAAAAATTCACTCCATTTTATGGTATGTTTGGTATTAGATGTTATAAGAATCCTGCAGCCAATTTTCATCTTCGTTCTTGTCTTTTGGTTTTCTAAAGTTAGCCATAATTCTCGAGCTTGTTCTGAGTGCATGATGAACACTAACTGAAGGCAAAAATTATGCGACATACGGCCCGTGGAAAAGAAAACAATAACTGCTTCATTACCTACTCCATTGTAGAACAGATTCGATGTAACAATGTATTTTGTAATACGTTTAACGAGCTGTGTATAATTCTATTATTACTAAGAAATAACACATTTTAGCTTTTAACTATTGTTAAGAAATAATAACTTTAGGTGCTCAATGATGGATATCATAAGCCATATACAATATTCGCGTCCGATCTGTCTTGGGAATACAATGGCTCGCCAGATCGGCCGCTCATATTGTATATATTACGTATACACCTACTTGCAGAAACGTTGTCATAGAAAATAGAATATTTGTATTTAGTAAAAAGGAATAAATTAAAACAAGACAAAAGAAAGCGTTCAGCCTCAGTGATCTTCTTTTGTCTTTTTAATTTATTCCTTTTTACTAAAATACAAATGTCCTATTTTCTATGACAACGTTTTCGCAAGTAGGTGTATATAAGAAAAATTACAAAAATTAATAAGAAATAAATAAAAAAACTATACCGTTCGCAGGGCAATTCAATTCATACATTTACATAATTACACGCACGAAAATCTCTTAACAATTTCACAATTCTGTGAGATAATCCATTTCTGTGATCGTTCAATTGTTAGTCTTGCAATGTTCGGTTTTAATAGAATAGTCATTTCTTTGTCTAGATCTTT